TAATTGGAGATAAGAGTCTCATGGACTTTCCTACCCAGTCTGGCTTTGAACCATGATCCTCAGATCTCAGTCTCCTTAGTAAGTAGGATTATAGGGGTGAGACACTGATGCTCGGCTAGTTTCATTTTTCTATTCTTCTTCTTGTTTAGTGAGTTGTGGAGTTTAAATTCAAGGCCTGGGAATTGTCCTTCAGCTTTGGTGCTCAAGACTAGCACTCTACCACTCTAGGTACAGCTCCATTTCTAGTTTTTTGGTGCTTAATTGGACTGTCACAGACTTTCCTTCCTAGGCTGGCTTTGAACCTTGATCACTGAGAGGTAGAACTACAGGCATGAGCCACTGGTACCTGTCTCTCAGTTTTGTTTAGTTTTTCTTTTTTCTTTTGTCAGTCATGGGCTTGAACTCAGGCCTGGGTGCTGTCCCTGAGCTCTTTAGCTCAATGCCAGCACTCTGTCACTTTGAGCCACAGCTCCACGTCCAGTTTTTGAGTGATTAATTGGAAATAAGAGTGTCCTGGAGATTTTTCTGTCTGAGCTGGCTTTGAATCAAAATCCTCAGATCTCAGGGCTGGGAAGGTGGCTCAGTGGTAGAGCGCTTGCCTTGCATGCACGAGGCCCTTGCGATTCCTCAGTACTACATAAGCAAAAAGAAAAAAAACCAGAAGTGGAGCTGTAGCTCAAGTGGCAGAGCGCTAGCCTTGAGCTGATGAGCTGAGGGACAGCACCCAGGCCCAGCGTTCAGGCCCCACAACCGGACCCCCCCCCAAAAAAAAAGATCCTCAGATCTCAGCCTCCTAAGTAACTAGGATTACAGGCATGAGTCACTGGCATTCGGCTCTCATTTTTTTTTTTACCTCCAGCTATTATCAAATTACCCTCTAGAATTTTTTTTTTTTTTTGGCCTGGACACTGTCCCTGAGCTTCTTTTGCTCAAGGCTAGCATTTTCCACTTGAGCCACAGCACCAATTCTAGCTTTTTCTGCTTATGTGGTGCTGAGGAATGGAACCCAGGGTTTTGTGCATGTTAGGCAAACACGCATTCCCAGCCCGCCCTCTAGATTGTTTGCAAATTGAATTTCCCCACAGTGTCACAAGTCTTTCATATCTCATGTACCAGCAGGCTCTGTAGTGACAGGAAAATAGGTAACAAGGGCGTTTCAGAGGTTGAGTTCAAGTTTGTCCTGCCCTTCAATATTTTGAACCTTGAGAATATGGACCAAGTTAACAATTTAGGTGTTAGATAACATCATTGTGTTGAATAACTGGTAACTGAAGGGGACTAATTGTTATTCACTAACAGTAAGAAGTCAGGGAGAGTTAGAATGAATTTATGGAAGAATGGGAAGTAGAACAAAAGGATAAATCTAAATGTTAAGTCATGTGTTTGTGTGTATGTGTGTGCCAGTACTGGGCCTTGAACTCGGGCTAGATGTTGTCTTGGAGCTCAAGGCCAGCACTCTATCACGGTGAGCCACAGTCCCACTTCTGGTTTTGTAGTGATTAATTGGAAATAAGAATCTCATGGATTTTCCTGCCCAGGCTGATTTCTATGTGTCATTCTCAGATCTCAGCTTCTTGAGTAGCTAGCTCAGTTTACTGAGCCACTAGTGCTCAGATTTTTTTAAATTTTATTTATTTATTTATTATTTATTTATTTAATTTTATTTTATTTGTGAACATACTGTACAGAGGGGTTACAATTACATGGGCAGGATAATGCGTACATTTCTTTTTTTTTGGGGTCCGGTTGTGGAGCCTGAACTCTGGGCCTGGGTGCTGTCCCTGAGCTCTTCAGCTCAAGGCTAGCGCTCTACCACTTGAGCCACAGCGCCACTTCCGGCTTTTTTTTTTCTT